CAGGTGACAGACAGTTTGATTTCTAATACATTTTCCTATATTAAAATTCTTCTGGGAATACAATGTATACATCTCCTAGTGAATATATGCAGTTTTAAGAGAATACACCAATTGGTGTGTGTGTTCAGTTGTGGAATATAGATATTTTCAACTTTATTAAATGTTAAAAATTGTTCTCAATGTTATATTACCATTTGAATCTACAGTATATGAGAATTTCATATTGCTAACAAACCATTTGACATTTTTATTTTAATGCTGTTTACTTTTTAAATTTAAATGAAAAATTTTGAAAATTTCATATGTAATGCCTTCTCCAGTTCCTCCCATGTGTTCCCATTCTCTCACAAATTCATGACTTCTTCTTGAATTATTATTTTTATATGTTTGTAAATGGATATATTAGTACAACCTGCTGAGGCTATTTAGTGTTTCTCATATGTATATGTCTATGTATACATGTATGTATATGATGTATGTATGCATGCAGTGTGTATGTATATGTGTTTAGGCCTGACCACTTGGGGTTGAATAACTTATCAGGAAGCTCATCCCTGAGAAGACTGAATCCCCCTCTCTCACCAGCCATTAATTGCCTGTAGCCTTCATCTAGGTTGGGCCTTATAAGATTTTCCCTATCTGTGTTGGCATGTCAACTAACTGGTGGTGTCATTGTACTGGTCTTATTTAGGTGACCATAGAGTTGAGAGTTCATGGACACAGCTTCCCCATCATATATGGAAGATATTACCTCACAGTAGACTTCTTGGTCCTCTGGCTCTTGCTCTTACAGACTTTCCACCCCATCTTCCATGATTATTCTCTTAGGCTGGGATCCAGGGGTTATGCTGTAAATGAATAAGTTGGGGTTGGATACTTCACAATCAGCTGTTCTCTGCATTTTGACCAGTTGTAGATTTCTGTAATTATCTCTGTTGGCTATAGAAGAAGCTTCTTTGATGAGGGGAGAGAGCTACATTTTTATCTTTGGGTAAAATGATATAGAACACAGTTAGAAATCACACCATTTTAGGAAAGTAGGAATAGCAGGCTCTTTTCTAGGGTCCATGACCTCACCAGCCACAGGTAGTTGGTTAACTTACAGTATCAGACGTGAATGTGCTCCTACTGAGTGCGCCTTAAGGACTATTAGATGGCTGTTGGTTGTTCACAAGATAGAAATGCCGCTGTGTACCACTGAGTATATCTTGCAATGTTTTTCATTCTTGTGGTTTGTAGGCTCACAGCTGGGTAGGAATGTGTGTGTGTGTGTGTGTGTGTGTGTGTGTGTGTGTGTGTGTGTGCATGTAACAACAATTAATGTAAAAAGAGGCCATAAATTTGAAAGAGAGCAAGGAAGAGTATATGGTAGGGCTTGGAGAGAGGAAAGGGGAGGGAGAAAGAATGTAATTCTATTATGATCTCAAAATTAAAAAATAACTGCTGAAAAATTAATTATTCAAATTCCCATAGCAGATTAGTTCAAGAATCAGAGCTCTATGGGGAAACTCTTCATCCCCAATATACCAGACCAGTAGTCTTCCAATAGCCTACTGGTTCCCCAAGGGCCATGGTTTAAGTCCCTCTGTAGATCATTAGTCTTCAGGCTTAGAAGGAAAACCATCGTATCCTAAGTTGTCTTTGTGCTAACCTGATTTCTTTATGTACAAAACTGAAACAATGCAGGACAAATCTATTTTTTCCTTACCTCCAAGGAGTCCTATAATTCCAGTGACCATCTGGAAAATTTCACAATGTTCTCATGATGGTAGAATCTCTGCCATGTTTCCCTACCTATGGCTATTTTAAAATAACTTTTTTATTTGATTTTTTTAAAAGAATCCTCATGCATTATTTAAAGAAGAAAAAAACCATTATCTTAATGTTCCAATTTTTCATGAGGGCTTACTAACAATGAGAACATGAACTTGCCAGCGAGAGCTTTCTGAAGGAGGTTCCCAGATCTATACAGATTGAATTGGCCATTGAACAGTGAACTGACGAAAGAGGGCTGAAAAGTTCTGCACAGACTGCCAGTGGTTGTGAATGGCTGAAAGTTAAACAGGGATCCAAGACCTACAGCTAATCTAAAGGGCCTGGGTTGTGGGAGGCTGACTTCTATAAGGAATTGATTGGACTATGTCACTAGGACAATTTTTAGAGATAGCTGGGAATTACAAAATTATTAACATTTTTAAAAATATGCTTTCAATAAGGAAAACAAATTGGAAGCAGATAAAGCTGGAGGAAGGAAGTTGTTTTCACAACATTTGTTAAATAGAAGCTATTTTAAATATGATTAATTTTACACACAAAGAAATACATCAAAGCAGTATTTCTACATTGCATTTATGCAGACCAAGAGGTACTATAAAATTCACAAATTTTGGCATATTATGGATTTTATTTGATAGAGGTTTGTCTCTAATCTTTAAACATATGTATTATATCTAAGTGTACAGTTTAATTTTATTTATTTATTTTATTTTATTTGATAGCAGTCTCTAATCTTTAAACCTATGTATTATATCTAAGTGTATGAGTTTTCACAAAGTGAATGAACATATGCCACCAGTTAAATTAAGAAGTTTACTTACTACCACTTCACAAGACTCCCTGTTATCTTCCCCAAATATAATAACTTCTACTCCTTGGCAATTTTTTCCCCTCTTTGGATTTTTTGAATGAAATCTTTCTTCCAAGAAATAAGCATTTCCAAGAAATGTACCTATAAATATGCACATACATGGAAAGAACCTCAGTATTATTTCAGTAATTTTTTAAGTTCATTAATAATTCATACACAATAGATTCTTCAAAGAAGAATGTATGTATACCACACATTGTTCCCACATGTGGAGTAGATTATACTCAAGCTTCTCTAGTTGTATCAGAATTAGCAGTCTAGAGGCTAGGGTTAGAAATGTCTTCCCCATGGAGTAGTGTTCACAGTGTTGGAAGGTACTAGTCAGCCTGCAGGGAGAGAAAGGGGATCCACAGTAACATTTAGCTGTGGACATGGTGTGCTACAGTATCAATGCACCAGGCAAGATGCGACCATTGGTGCGCTAGTGGTATAACTGATTTGGTGACAACCACCTACTGTCTGGTTGGAATTCTCAGTTTTCCAGGGTTCTATGGGAACTCTACTTAACTGTTTTCCCCTTCTCTCCCTTCTATCTCTTCTCTCCTTCTCCTTTGATCAAGCTGAAGCCTCGAATAGCTTGACTTTGCTAACAGGTATGTGGATGAATTCATTGTTTGCTCCATAGGTTGATTTGGGCTGAAAAAGTAGAGCCATCACAGAGAAACACTGCTGTGTAGAGGGCTTATGTCTTGAAAAGGAGAAGTTACAGAATGCAGGAAAAACAACTTTAAATAGAACTCAGGAAAAAGAATTTGTGTGTGGTGGCTGTCCTATATTATGTACATATGGTAGTTAAACCTTTTCAGTTTGATTTGGTTGAGAAGAACCTAAGAGATTAGTAAAGGATATTTATGGGTTTATCTGTGAAGGCTTTTCCAGGTACTGTTCCACTCTGAGGGTTCTGATCTAAAGGTTGGATTAATGATCTCTTCAGATTCAAACTATGATGGAGTAATTGAAGAGGTGGTAAAAGTTGTGATGTGAGATCTTGTTGGAGCATGTCATTAGGGGCTATATTTCACTCTGGCTCCTACAGGTATTCTCTTCTCTTTGCTTCCTGGCTGTCCTGATGAGGACCGTTCTGCTGAACCATGCCTCTACATTTTAACAGAGACGTCAAGGTTTAAAGATTGGACACTTTGTGTCTCTCAGGTACTATTCAGAATAATAAGAAAAGTGACTCATCTAGTACAGGCACATTTAAGGCTGAAAAAAATCTAGGGGGAGAGCTGTAAATATTAGATGATCTTCTCTAATCTATGGACTTATTGACTCTAACTGGATCCTAAGAATAACTGTGTGGTGACTTAACTCTACTGAACTTTACATGTAATGTGATGATGATGATGATGATGATGATGATGTGTGTGTGTGTGTTTGTGTGTGTAGGGAGGAGCAGCCATCTCTAGTCCTCCATTACCTTATTCATAAGCATGAGTGTCACAGCACACTATCCCTAAAATGATGAATAATAAAAAATGAATTTCTTGCCGGGCGGTGGTGGCGCACGCCTTTAATCCCAGCACTCGGGAGGCAGAGCCAGGCGGATCTCTGTGAGTTCGAGGCCAGCCTGGGCTACCAAGTGAGTTCCAGGAAAGGCGCAAAGCTACACAGAGAAACCCTGTCTCGAAAAACCAAAAAAAAAAAAAAAATGAATTTCTTTTAAGGATCAAGTAAGACCATATAGTAGAATATAGTTCTTAGAGCTATAGTAGGAAAACTGGGTGGATAATGAAAATTCATTTTACTTTTCTAGTTTCAGAAGAAATTATTGGATTACTGTACTAAAATGGCATTTCCTTCAGATTTTTTCACTGTCTGACTGAGAAAGTAACTGGGTTTGATATCTAGTGTTCATTAAGGGTTTTTCAGGAACTGTCATTAGCAATGTATGTGAGTGGGACAAAAGTAGTTGATTTGAGGGAATCGATATACTAGCTTTAGTGGGTTAGTCACTTCCTGCAGTGCGGAGCAAAGGGAGGCACTCGTTTCAGACAAGTGAGTTTCACATTCATTTTGTCCTCAAAAATCTATTATTATTATTATTATTATTATTATGAAGTTTAGTGGAAGAATCCAGGAAGCAAAGACTCAGGGATGCTTTACACGTCAAATGTTTCTTATTTGATGTAGAAATCTTGTTTCACTCTTCACACTGTATCACCTGATATTGTTCTCATTGAATTTTTAAAGATGAATCATTGAGTTACTTTTCTACTACACTATTTCATGAAAGATGCTTGGGTTGCAGGTGTTTTGTATATTATTAATAGTGACTAATTGGCATCTCAAGTGCAGTATGGTCCCATGTTAATTCTATTATTTGACTTATCTGGAATTAAACACAAATAAGTTCAAAAGTAATTATTTTTTTTTATTTCAACTCTATAAAGTATCCAACAGGCACTCTGCAATTACAGCTGCAGGGAAAATACAGAGCAAATCAAAGCAGGTTAAGTTATGAAAAAGTTTTTAATCTACATCAAAAGAGTGCAAGTGGCCAATGACCATTAGATGACAGTTTGTTGCATTCTAACAAAAGACTCTTTCATGTAGCACAAATTGTAAGAGGACAATCAAATAACCATAGCTGTAAGAATACAAAAGAACTGACCAGTTGTAAAAACATCATACGTTGAAATAAACTTGATAGATGACGCTTAAAGAAATGTCCCTTTACTTAGAAAGCCCAAACCTCTGTGTCATGGCCAAGGTCCCAGAGCTCTGTCTGTTGATGCAGGGGCAGAAAGGAGGAGGGCTAACAACATACTTTCAACATTTTGCTCTCAAGGTCTCCCGAAAACTTGCCTCATACATGATTTGCATATACAAGAACTCAGAGAAAGCATCCTGTTTTGTTGAGGGGTGCACCAAGGTACATTTTCATCATTGGTTTCAGAACGAGGTGTGGTGAGCAGTCATTTCCAATATTTCTTTTGGGTTGAACCATTGTTAATGGAGTCTATAAAATGAGATACATTAGGATTTGACTGCACTACTTTTTTTTTTAAATTTTACTGAGTCTGCACAGCTGAGCAAAACAGGAATACCTGTATACAGACTGATAGTATGTCATATAGTAATTTGACCTGCACATACATTTATACATTTCACAGAAATGACGCTGTATCTCATGAACAGACACACAGCTCTGGTACATTTAACAGAAATAAGATAACAACTTCATCATTTCTGTAATTCATCAATATTATATAATAAAGGCTTATAAATCGTTAGCAGAAAGAACTGTAAAACGCAGCAAGCTAAGAAAGGACAACATTTTGAGGTGTGTTTGTCTTTGTCATGCAGCATAACACCAAATTTGTTTTCTTAATAAGATGCCATGAGTTTAAGGCACTTGCAACAACGCCAGATAGCCAGGTCATGTTCTAAACTATGGGACAGATGAGTGACAGTACTGTTGACATAAGTTTCAATAATACTAACAATTATGACGCTCATTCAAGTCTACTTGGACCTAAAAACATTATTTAATACAAATAATAAAATAAAATCATAATGCTGTGAAACACTAAAAAAAGTTATATGTACCACAAAATATCACCCCAAAATATCTATTTACATAAATATTTGTTGTGGTCCTACTGTGAAAGAAAATGTGTGGAAAATGCACAGAAACCTCTACTGTATAAAGTCGGGTTTAATACCCTTGTGTTCAATATGGTAGCTGACTTCTTTAGGATCACCATCAGGTCTATCATTTGGAAATAAAGTGAGAAAGATTCAATAGTTTAAATATTATTCTACATGTGTAATTCACATGTATGTTCCCTAATTTTAAGAAAAAAACCCCTCTGACTTGTAAGGATTATAATAAAAATAAATTTGTTTTAAATGCTACATGGATCTGATTCACATCCAAATAATAAAGAAGCTCATAAGTATAAAAATCAACTATAACACTTTTCCAAAACTCATTTTCTCTAATGTGTTCAGTCTAATTAAATATTGTGATGTCCTCTCCTTGGCAGTTTGCTGTTTTTCTGTGATTTAAGACACACAGACAGCCCTATTTCCCATACACAGAAGTATCAACAAGAAAGTCAGTTAGCAAATCAAACAAATTGGCACTATTCTAGTTTATCCAGATGGTCTTTAGTGCAAGAAAATAAAGAATAAAAATAAAGGGGCATGGAAAAGTCCAGAAAGTAAGATGTGGTTTATCAAGCTGACCATGAATGATAGCCCTAGTGTCTTCATTAAGACAAGATTTAAATTCTTAAAATTCAGTTTTGAAAATCTGATGTATGTTTTCTGTTAGCAACTCTTGGAAGATAGAGGTCACCTTTATCTCTTGGGATTGTATTGGACATTCTAATCAATGCTGTGGATGAAATGAACAAAGATGTATCACAAATGGAAAACAGCCCACAGTCACATTGTGCTGAAAACAACTCCTTTCTCCTTCATAGAATCCATATAGCCACATGAGCTGTCTTAGCCTGGAACCAAAGTCCCCAAATACATGGTCCGTGAAAATTCCTGGGCATTTGTGGATATTTGAAAGGTTAGAGAGACAATTCCCTTTGCTAATAACAAGGCAAATGTAACATCCTAGCAAGCCTTTGGCGCACCTAAACCACACTATCTTGCAACAGAAAATATTAAACACTGATTATAATGTTGGGATTATATGCTTTTTAGAAATCAGTTAAAAGATAAATAAACCTCCAGAAATCACTGAATTTTAGCTTGATGCATTTAATTTTTATATTATTTAGTCTGTTGAAATCCACAGATCTCTCTGGGAATCTACTAATCTTGAGAAACTGCTTATGAAAGAGAAGATTCTAATCATACAGTAATAATAATATCAGGATCAAAGTTTTAATTGAACTTTACCCCAATTAAACATACTTTCAGTAGTTTTGGGCTTCAAATGTTTTAAGAGTATTATATTTTGATAGGATAGCACATTTGAAAGTCATTTTGAGTATGAAATTTCAAAAAAAACCTCATGTCATTTATTGGGTAGGCTGTGATGACCTAATGGAACCATTTTTATAAGAATTTCTACATTAAAAAAACTATTGGAAAAATAGCAAATCTCTATTAACATGATTTCCAAATCAGGGTGCTGTCTTGGACGGTTGTACATTTACCTACATAAGTAAAATGCTACCTAAAGAAAGCTTCTGGAGAATTCTGCCATTTAATGATAGAGGTCAACTGGCCTGCCAACAACACACTATAATTTGATGATCCTTTTCCTCATGTGAAAAAGACAGCTTGACATTTTCAAATCTTGTCTTCTCTAGCTCATGTGAAATTTCTAAGGCTGTTTTAACACCTCTGCTCTATCAGACAAAATGCAGTCTTGAGAAAGCAAGTCTCCTGTGTTCCTCTCTAACCCCTTCTAACTTTGATAAACTTACTGAGGGAAAGGGTCTCAACTCCGTGTCTTCCTCCCTGACCTCAAATAAACAAAGCTCCTTAGTAGTAACTCTCAATACCATTGACTTTGTACTTTCAGACTGCATATATATTGTTTTGGTTCAGGTCTAAGACAAGTGACCAGTTGAAATACATTTTTAATATCCTTTCTCTCTGAGCCCTGGACTGTGTTGTGACATCTGACAGGAATTTGTTTTTAATAAAGTTAGTGAAAATGCTTGAGTCTCTGGCTAGACAGGATGATTAGGATCTGTGTCATCCGTTCAGACACTGACATTACAGATGAAAGATAGACATAGCACCTTTTCATTTTTATTTTTTTGGATGGGTCTTCATTCCTCCCCACCCTATCCCACCCGTGCCCCAAGGGTGTGTTCTTATAAAAGGGAAGAGTTTAAGCCTCGGTTTGAGGGTGTTAAGTAATAAATAAAACCAATTGGCTGCTAGTCATTTCCAGGACCATCTTTAAGCACAATATATTTATATATATTTTAAAGATATGAAATGGTGTTGTGAATTCTTTTTCTCCCTCCACTTTGTCATGCCAATTTCTCAATTATCATGCACATTTTCAATCCTCCAAATACGCATATGTACCTGCCGTGGGAGGCTTGTTCAGAAACCATAGCAATTGTGCTTTTTTATCAGACCAAATTTTAGAAACCATCAGAAAGAAAAGGTAACATTCAGTCTTGTCATCAGCTAGGAAAAAAATTCAGAAACTTCTAGCACTGGTTTGACATGAAGTCTGTGACCTACAGATGTGTGCTCCTCTTTGTACGATATACATACTGGCTTGAAGTCAGAAGCTCCACACCCTTCCCTGATGAAAAGGAATAGCCCAGGTTTTGTACCACAGTCATCTATCGTACCGAATATATTATTCTCTATTCTTCTCGGTAATTCTAGCAAGATACAGACTCTTCTACTAGATTGAAGTATTTCCTACACTCTTTCAAAACATAATCAGAGCAAAGCAAGGTCATTGCAACAATAGAAAACATCACTTTACTGGTGAAAGGCTTTGCTTCAGGACCACCATGTCAACTGCTATTTTAGGTTCCAACATAAAACATGTAAAGAGCACTATCACAATCTAAGCAATAAGTCCTAATGCCACCGTAGTTACTGGAGCAGCATCGATCAAAGGCATCATGGTGACCCCGAGCACTAATCTTCTCTCTTTCCCTCAGGTTTGCTGGCAGCTGTGTCTCAGAAAAAGCTGTCTTCAGCAAGGCAGAAGCAGGTAAGAGAAATACATTAGAAGTCTATGTCCCAGCCTGAGTTGTCGTCAGGCGGTGGCTCATCGCTGTCCTCAGGGAAACTGTCGAAATTGCTTGTGTCTGTGGGTGACGCAACCTGCAATGTGAGAGAAGGAACAAAGGGCTTTTGGTATATTTTTGGTAGAATTGTGAGCCAGAGATTTTACTTTCCATTATTAAAAGGAATAATTCTTAATTTGTTTTTAAACAGATGTATAAAAACAAACTCTGTATATACTGATGGATAACATGATCCATGTATGCATTCAATAATATTTAGATCAGATTAAATACATGTCTCCTGAATATTTTTTCCTTATAAAGACTTTGAAAACCCTTTCTTCTAGTTTTTGAAATGTAAAGTTCCTCATTATTATTATCTTTCATCACCCTGCTCCAGTACAATTATATAGCACTGCTTTCTGAGCCTGTCTAACTTGGTGGCTGTAGATCAATTACTCTTTCTCCATCCCTTTGCCATCCTTATTTTCTCCAGCCTCTGGTAAGCAAAATTCTAATCTCCATTTTTGTAAGAGCAACTTGCTTTTAGATTGCACATGGGGCTGACTATATACTCCCTTTATTTTTCTGTGTCTGAATTACTCAATGTATGAAAGTGATCATCAGTCACATCCATGTTGTTACAAATGACAGGATTTCAATCTGTTTATGGAAGGGTGGCATTTTATCATGCAAACTTATACATTTTCTTTCTCTGTTGGGCCAGAATTGTGTTGTTGTTGTTGTTGTTGTTTTGAGACAGGGCCTTATTGGGCAGCCTTTGCTGACCTGGAACTCACTATGTAGACCTGGCTGGCCTTTCAACTCCCAGAGATCTGCCTGTTTCTGTCTTCTGGTGAGTATTGGGATAACGGTGTGGTTGCTAGGATTAAAGGTGTGTGCCACCATATCTGACAATGGGCTTGAATTTTAAAGTCACTTTTATCATCCTTCATTCAATGACATTTTTTGAACATGTAGTATGGGATGAAAGTTTGGGGTAGCTCTGGGGAATGGAAACAAGCATGCTTCTTACACTCAGGGGAACTTATACTGTTGTAACAAATTGTGAAAGTTAAAACAAATAATCCCAGAAATCTATAAAGAATGATAAAATCATAGCACTATGAAGAAAATTACAAGGTGTTGGGGAAATATGAGTGATCACAGAAATCACTTTGCAAAAGTATTATTTTAAGTTAAGAATTGTTCAATAAAGAGGGTAGTGCACACACCAAGGTCCTACGAGGGTTCTGGGAACTGGCCAACATGACTGCTACACAAGAGAGGAGAGTGGAATGGGGTAAAACCAGAGAAGGAGGCAGAAGCCAGGACATAGGCCCTAGAAGGCCATGGTATGGATTTCATATGTTTATTTTTAAAAAGTATAATGAAAGTATTGTAAGAAATATGTTTACTATAAGTATAATGGAAGTTTAGAGATTTGTTCTAAACTCGAGCAAAATTCTTCCATATTTGCTGGCTGAAGTCTGGTCTTCAGGGCATCAAGCAAAACCCTTGTAACTATCCCTACTGTATAAAAGTCATCCCTGATAAATTTAGGTGAGAAAAATTTACATCAAATACTTGGACCTTCTAGCTTCTCACTCTACCCTTATGAATGTAATTGGGATCAATGATGTGAAACATGGGTGTAGTATTTTTATTTTGTTTCCTGAATTAAAAACAAAACAATCAACAGAGAAATAACTCTTAGAAGAAAGGAAAATGTTTCTATACACAAAAACTCTTGAATTAATCCCAGAGAGCTGAAGCATATAAACAAAATTCATAGGACCATAAATCTGTCCCTTCCACTTTTGATAAAATGCAGCATGTTGTATTAAACAGGGGCAGTGCACGTCATTCAGTTGAAGTCTATTTTAGGTTAATATGGTGTACACAGTCCATGTAGCAAACTAGCTATTTGACAGCATGCCCCCACCCCCCATGCCTGAAATAAACTGTATTAGGAAAAGAGAACCTTTTTTCAGATATTAATAGAAGGAAGAAAGAACATATGGCTTCCAAGTCATGCTGGGGTAGGTATGGACATGTGAATGAAACAACACTGAAAACAGTTGCTGTAAATTCTGTATATTCTTTTAGCTACAAACATACATTTTTAACATGTACCATAACAAAATATCCATTGTATTCATGGATAAAGTGAATATGAATTCCAATGAAGTATTTAAAAAGATAAAGGTAGATCACACATATAATAACCATCCCTAGATTTGTCGGTATTATGCTTGGATTTTAGAATATGACATTATTTTAAGATGGTATTTCATAGATTTCATAATATGATCATAAAACTCTAAAAATAACAAATCTTTGTTGATTGAAAAATACTGTCAAGTATGTACCATTTATAAGCTAAAAAGTCTACTTACACTTGGAATTATGGGAGGTGTCAAGGTGCCTTTTCTTAAGCCTTCCCAATTAAACCCCTCAAACCATCTAAGAAACAAAAATAAAGACAATTAAGACATTGCATCTCTGTTACATATTCTCACTAGAACATATTTAATATACCTGATAGTCAGAAGGGTCTCATAGAGTCTAGGATGACCTTAAACTTACTATGTAGGTGATGATGACTTTGAACTACTGATCCTCCTGCCTCCAGTTCCCAAGTGTTGGTATTACAGATGTGTGCTACCACATCTGGCTCAGAATGTTTTTAATGAGCTTATTTTATAAAATGCAAAAAACTATTAAAATATTTTATTAAATTACTTAAAAATAATTGTATCTAAAAATTTTACACTTAAGTGTAAATTTTAAAATATTTATACTTAAGGTGTAATTGTCAAATTCACACACCAATTTATCATGCAACTTTGTTTTTGTAATTTCAATTTTGTCTGTATGTCTAAGTTCTTGCACTATCATAATTTAACAAATGTCATAGTATGCTTTGCTCTATGCATCACAAACACTTTCCATCTTCGCCAGAGAATCCATATGCTAGTTATAGTGGGGGTGGAAGATCACAGACGCATTCTACACTGTCACTGTGACAGCCTAAAGTAGTCTTTCAGAGATCTCTACTCAGGTGAAAATGGGAATCTTGACTTTACTGCAGAACATAATTCCAGGATGAGCCAGTATGAGGCAGAGTTAAAATTGGTTAGGAAAGTATTTTGACACAGATTTCAGCATGGGGGTTGCTAGAAAGAGAAGCACTTGCAAAAAATAAGATTCAACCAAGCGAGCAGCGAGCTTTCTTAAGAGATGGTAAGCTGCACATGTTAGAAATGGCCATATATATGAATTTTTGTGGCTCAAATTGTACCTCAAAAGTTAGCTAAAAAAAGTTCTCTCATCCCCCTTTTTTGGTAAATCAGAGTATAGGGTGGCTTCATAGGTGCCTTGGATAGGGATGTAATCTGATGAGGCAGATCGTGACTAACTTACAGGAGTTAACAAAAGGAATTGTCTGTAACCAGGTAAGGCTTCCAGTGGAAGGACTGAGACCCTATCTCAGCCACATGACCTTTGACCAACAATTTTCCCTGTCTACAAGATATGCTGGGTTCACAGAGACAGCTGACTGAGTTCATGGGAGAACACGGACTCTGGACCAACAATTAGGGAGCCAGCATGGACCGACCTAGGCCCTCTGCATGTGTGTGACAGTTGTGTAGCTTGGTCTGTTTGTAAGGCTTCTAGTAGTGAGATCAGGATCTGTCCCTGGTACTTAGTTGGCTTTTGGGAACCTGTTCTCCATGCTGGATTACTTTGCCTAAACTTGGTGCATGGGGAGGAGCTCAGTCCTGCCTCAACTTGATGTGCCATGCTATGTTCAAGCCCATGGGACGCCTGCCCTTTTTTGAACGGAGAAGGAGGTTTGGATGGGGAGGGAGTAGATGAGAGCGAGGGAAGGAATGGGAGGAGAGGAGGAAACTGTGGTTGGTATGTAAAATAAATGAAAAAAATATTAATTAAATAAAATTAATTTAAAAAAAGATGTGCTGGGGGTAAAGATGGTACAGAAATTTTGCAATTAGCCAACTAATGACTGGTCCAGCTTGAGACCCACGCCATGAGAAGGAGCCCAACCCTGACACTGCCTGGAGGGCCAGGGCCCAGAGGCTGGACAGCCTGGAGACCTAGGATAGAACCAAACATGACTGACAAGACAAAAAAAAAAGTCAATGAAATGATGACGGTCACCTGCTTAGGGACAAGATTCCTTTGAGAGTTGCAAATAAGAATGTTAAAGTAGCAATTAGTCATACTCAAAGCCCTGTTGTCTATAGCTTTTCTCCTTCCCTTTCTACAAGCCTACAGTTTTCCAGGGACCTCACTGGTAGAAAAAGATGTGTCTAAATTCCAGCCCGCCTATCATTTACTCTACCCATTCGAAACCTGGAACCATGTGGAATCTAACTCAACTACAACTAGGTCCTTCAGACCCATTTTAGCCATCCACCTTACTATTGCCACCTACCCCATACATCACCTAGAACCATGGAGAGTCCTTCCTGGGAATGCAAGGTAGGTTCCTTACACTCACTCTGTTGGTCTACTTAATCAGTCACCCTACCTGCCACTCAGCCTGGACCCAACTGTGGAATTTGACAGGGAACTTTCCAATGTTGTTTTTATCAAAATCTCAACTATTCAATTTTACCAATTAAGACTCTATAGCCAGATGCTGGGGTGATAGCCTGCTAGCTCTGAGAGGCAGAGAAAGCACTCAGCTGACCTTCTTCCTCAGCTGACATTCTAGAAAAACTCTTTTCCTTCACCTTCTCAAACAAACGAACAAAAAGCCCCCTTAAACTGAATGTCCCTCCCTTCTACTTCCTGTGTGTCTCTCTATCCATCCTTCTGACTCCCTCTTACTCTCTGTTGCTTTTTTCCTTAATAATCCTATGTTCACTTCCTATCAACTGGTTGTTTGCTCCACCATTTGACCTATGGTTGACTTTATTTAGTCCTGTTTAAACATTCAAGCAGAGATATCTTAGATTAAAAGTGTATGCTAAGGCTGAACCACACCACAACTAGAAACAGGTTTTTCCAGTTAATAATGCAATCTCCAGGTTCAAAGTATGATCAAACAGCTTGCAACACCGCAAAGTCCCCATGAGGCCTTCAACCTGCTTATCAGCCACTCTAATGACTGTGCATCTACCATACAGCATGAAGTCTGACCCAGGACTCCAGGTAGGTCCCTGTATCTGTTATAATGCCTGTGAGCCTATTAGCTACCCTATCTACTATGCTGCTACCATATATAATCTGACTCAGAACTCCAGGCAGTTCCCTTAGACACATTCTGTCCCTATGCCTATTTATCAGCCACTTTACCCACTACTCTGCACAGGTGCCATGTGGTGTACAACCAAGAACTCCAGGATGGTCCCAGAGACCCATTAAGCCCATCTGCACACCTGTGAGTGATACTGCCCCCCTACACTCCACCTCCCCAAACAACATGGAGTTCCTACAACCTGGAACTCCAGGTAAGTCCCCCAGACCCATTCTGCCTCAGCCACTGCCTGGAAGTCACCCCTGAAACAACACAATACTTCCAAATCATATGAAATTTGATGGACAGCTCCCAGGTACGTTCCCCAGACCAATTCTGCCTGCCATCCTAGTAGCCACCTACCCATTGCAGCCCTGCCACCATCAACATTGCATGGAGTCTGACCTGGAACTTCAGTTAGGACCTCTAGAGTCATTCTACTACCTGGAGTCTATGAGCGACCCCACCTCCATGCTGCCCTGGTGTCACATAGAGTCCAACATGGAACTCCCAGGAGGAACTCTATGTCCATTCAGCCTGCATGACTATCAACTGTCTCACCTATGATGTCAGACGTCACCCAGCACCATGTAGAGTCTGATGCAGAACACCAGGGAGGTCCCTCAGATCCTCTGTGCCCACTCAACTATCAGCCACTCTTCCTGCCACATCACCTTACACTGCTTGGAGTAGAACCCAGCACTCCAGGATCCCTAGGCCCATTCCATCCACCTGCCTGCCTATCAGTCACCCTACCCAGTTCCCTGAGTGGAGTCTGAATTCGAACTCCAGGCAGATCACCAAGACTCCTCCCATTCACCTGCCTGTCAGCCACCCTACCTACTACTTAACCCTGGTAGGGACAATAGGCAGGTCTCTTCAGACCTCTTCTGCCTATACTCCTGCCTATCAGCCCCTTTATGCACTTCACCAAGTGGAATACAACCCATAACTCCACGTAGGTTCCTCCAGACCCATTCTGCCTGCGTGCCTGCCTGTCAGTCACCTTACCCACCACTGCATCCTGGCATCATATCAAATCCAACCAGGAACTTTTGGTATATCCTATTTTACCCACCTGCTTATCAGTCACCATGCCCACTGCATCCAATCTGACTCTACTCCTGGAACTCCTCTAAGTCCCGTAGTGCATTTTCACACCTATGTGCATATTAGCTACCATACCCATCACGCTGCTACCACACAGTGCATAGTTGGATATGAACTTCAGGTAGGTCCTCTAGACCCATTCCCCACAACTACCTGCTTATTGCCCAACCATCATACCCACCATCCTCCCCTAGCATGGTATGGAGTTTAACTCAGAACTACAAGTAGAAACTCCCAAAGCCAGTCTGTCACCTCACCTACCAAGACACCCTGGGATCATAATGTCTTGTGCCCCTGACTCCAGATAAGGATACACAGTCTAGCTTCCACATCACCCTGAGAATGGTGTGTTGTTATCTATCCCACCCATTCATTGCACTGTCTACTCTCACTGTGACCCCAGCTCCTGCAACCCAAGTAGCACATGCAGAACCTGATGAGGTCTCCACAGCTGAAGACCGGCAAAGAGATTCTTCTGAGTCCACAGAAGGTTTACTCATAGACTCAGAAGTTGTAGTCTTACTTGCTGAGCTGAGACTACTTCTGAAACCCCATTCACACACCACAGAGTGACCCCAAGACTGAACACCAAGAACCATTTAGCTGGTCCATAACCTAGCAAGTTGGGGTAACAGCAAACTGAGATCCAAATACCACTCTACAAAGGTGAGATGAGATAGCCACATCCAAAACTGCCAAATGGCTATCTCCAGATGCCTGGGTACCACTTGGAAAAAAACCCACAAATAATATGAATAACCAAGACTGTATGTCTTTTCCAGAAATCATCCCCCATTGTACTGGTCTGTGAGAAAAGCAACCTAGCTAATATACAAGACAAAAAATTTCAAATCAGCCATCATAAATACATTCAAAAACTCAGAGAAGATATGAACAAATGCCTAAATGAGGAGCATGAAAATACAAATAGTTGAACAAAGTGATGAAAACAATTCAAGATATGAAAATTAAATAAAAAAGAGATAGATTCTTTGAAGAAAAGCTAAGATGATATAAAACTCTAAATGAAATAGGAAGTTAAACAAAAAGGTTTTGGGAAAGTCTTGGCAATTGACTGGATCAAGTGGAAGAGATAATACCAAGCCTTTAAATTTTTTTTCCCCAGACAGGGATTCTCTGTGTAGCCTTAGCTGTCCTGGAACTCCACCTGTAGACCAGGCTGCCCTTGAACTCACAGAGATCCACCTGCCTCTGCCTCCCTAGTGCTGGGATCAAAGGTGTATACCACCACCACCCAGCAATATCAGGTCTTGAAGAGAAGACAGAGGAAATGGATCACTCAGTCAAAGAAAGTGGTAAATCTAAACACACACACATACACACACACACACACACACACACACACACACACACACACACACACACACACATACACACACACTAAAGGGCAGGAGGCACGAAGAGCACCAAATAGGCAGGACCAGAAAAGAGACTCTCCACATCACATAACAATCAAAGCACTAAATGTTTTGGCCAACAGGACAAAGAAAGGGAGCTGAAAGCATCACACAGAAAGAACACGTCATTTCTAAAGGCAAACCCATTAGAATAACACTGGCCTTTTCAGTGGAGACTTCCAAAGCCAGAAGGGCCTGGACTGATGCTCTCCAAGTGTTAAAAGACCACAGATATCAGCCCAAACTAGCCCTACCCTCCTAAGGGAATCACAGGCTTTCAGCTCTGATGATGGATGTCTTGAAAGAGTGAAGCTGCCCAAGTTTTCTTAGCCTTTAAAAGCCTGCAGTCAACATTGAGGTGTCCCAGAACATTCTGGACAGGTTAAAAATGTCAACTTTCTTTGCATTATTGGGGCTTTGTTCTTTCCCTTGATCTGCAACTTAGGACCACTTTCTAAGTAGACTTGTGTGGTATTGATAAGGATGGCCCTATGCCACAAGAGTTCTTATTAGCTCCAGCACTGGGAATTTTTCATTTAGAAAAGCCTTGTGTCTTCTATGCAGCAGAATAAGACACAGCATTATGCTTCTTCACTTAAAAGCTAGGGGACTTTCTGCACCTGGTCTCTAGTGTATGAATAGCTAAGGTGCTCACAAGCTGTAGCAGCTGTGGCAATGTTGGTAGGTGATAAACAGAAATGGCTCTAATTCACCTATTCCAGAACCAAATGTAAGTCCACCTTATACTAAAGCAGAGAAGGCACAAGCCACAGACTGACTGAAAATGACTGGTGAACTCAGGGCAGCATAAAACTCTTGTTTCAAACAATTAAGAAAAGTATTCAGGGACTTCATGACTCATACCCCCTGGGAAGAAAGGCATTAACTGTTCTAGTCATTTATGTCTTTGGGGTTAAAGGAGCATAAAGTCTACAGTCCAAATAGTCACAATGTCACATCTGTTTTGTCTCCATAATTACCAAGAAGATAGCACTAGGAGCCTTTCCTTAACTCATTACAAAGGGTTGGTACATTCTGAGAAAGAGATTGACAATAAGATCCTACTCAAATGTTTCCCTGTCAAGAATATAAGTATCTCCTGTGTGTGCTGACTGCATCTCTGGGTGGATAGAGATCTAATCACACAGACTCAGAGAACTCAAAATATTATACATCCTACAATAAAATTGACCCACCTGGGACTCCTGGCCTCAGTGACATCCTGAGAACATGCCACTTAAACCTATAAATTCTGTAAAGGTCTAAAAATTCTCTTCAAACAAGAAGTAATAAATAAACGAGACATCTTGATATCATAACTTCCTAAATGCAAAGATAAGTTTCCCTTATAAATTACATGTCTGGCTTTGTGTCATTATTTTTTTTAGGCACAGTCAGCATACATACTCAATTGTTGCAACCTCATGCTGTTTTTTTTCTGTAATTTATTCTATACTGGATTCCTTCTTGGAATTGTTCTTTTATGTTTTGCCACATTATCAGTATAGGACTATCAGTAGGTATTATGACAGCCCAAGGGCTCTTGCTTTGAAATTCAAAAGGTATCCATGAGGAGCTGGAGGGGGAAATATAGGGTGGATATGATCATGTGACCATATTTCATTGTGTACATTTATGAAATTCTCAAAGACTACATTTTTTAAAAAAAAGATGATAAAGACAGTGACCCTCAGTAGTCTGATAGCAGTACATGGAGAACCTGTGTCCTTCATTATTAGAATGGAGCATATATATCTAATAGGCCAGGCTCTGTGTCCTGTTGGCAGTCCAATCTAGGTCAGATTCTGACAAGTTTTAATCAGTTACTAGCATCATGATTGTCAAATATCTCATGAATAAAGAGACACTGTTATTTTTGTTGCTAATATTAAATATAACAATCTATGTTATACTTTCTTATTTATATGGTTTGTTGGCCCAGGTCATCACACTGTCCCTTATAGATTTCCATGGGATGATGATCCTCCAGTGTCCAAACTTAGACTTTCTTATCTCATCCTTAGGTATCACAGGTTGAAACTTTAGCTATCTGGATGCTCAATGTCTACATCCCTGTACAGAGCAAAGACATTTTAAAATATAGGCCTTTGAACATTATCCACCATTAAGATTGAGGGATCAAAGTCTCAGAGGGGGAAACTAAGGCAAGACAGAAAGAAAATGAGAGGACATGAGAAGGTGAAGTAATGCTTCACACTGGAGTCAGGTCAGAGCTTCCTGCTAGAACAGAGTCAAGAACTCCATCCCAACTAACCATTTGCTATGGAGATTACCTGCATAGACACAATGTTATCTTCTACTGAGTTGGTAAAACTGTAAACAATCTGCTTAAGGCTTAAGTGTACATGGCCTTTCTCCTTTCCAAGTTGTAAGCCTGCTGTTGTCTAGGGATCTGATAGAAAGCCCACATATAGTAGAAGATGTCTTAATTCCCTTTTGGGACCCTGGTAACTCGTAGTTTTCTCAGATGTCCATCTTATTGCAGATATCTCTAGAGCCACCTTATATTCTCATTTGCAAAAATAAGGAAAAAAAAGAGAAAAAGATTTCTAGCAACCTTGAAGATACAACTTGACAGCCATCAAAACTGAACGCGCACGGCTATTCTTAAGACACCCGAGTGTGGCACTTTTGAGAAGCCCACATCCATACTTGGGTATGTTCCTTCCGAGTGCTTACATTAGAAATCTCTTTCTAATAACTTCAACTCTGCCTCTTCTTAGCCTGGCCTGAAGTGCAGTGATCTCCTCAGCAAAGTCAAGAGTCCCATTTTCAACTGAGTAGAGATAGCCTAAAGGAAAGCTTCAGCTACTTTAAGTGGGATATAGGGCTGAGTCCCTAGCTCCCACATCCCACTGCTACTGATGATTAGAAATCTCTATCTATATATCTCTATATTTTGCCTTTAATTTAAAAACATAAGGTATGATTTAGGGAACAATTTTGTTTTCCTTATGCAACAGTGAACAAAGTCTCAGAATTATAAATATACATATTTTTTTCTTTGTGCCAAAGGGGTACAACAAATAAATACTGATTAAGTGTTAATTGAGAGAAACTAGGTCAATGAATTGCTGGATATTAATGAGTAAATTTCTAGATACAGTCTAGAAAAGTTTAAAAAGGCTATCACTCTCTCTGAATGTTCTAACCAATAACTAAAAACTTCCACCCTGGGGAAACTTGCCACACTTTCTCAATTATAAAAAAAGATCACTTACTTGTGTTTCTGAATGTCTTTTACTCCGTTTTTCAAATTTCCTAACCTTTCTGATGGGTTGTCCCTAAAAATGAAATAATGATCTTGTGAAAAAAAGCTGAATATTTTCACATTAGGATCCTTTTAAAATGATGCACTTCAAATACTTACCTGCATAGTTTTTTAATTAAATTAGCAGCATTTTTTGCAATCTTCTTTGGAAATTCTATCATGTCAATCCCCCGCAGTATGATGTTATAGGTTTTCATAGGGTCTGGGCCTGAGAAAGGTGGGCTGCCATGAGGGAGACAGAAAGAGACGGTGTTTTTACTCTTTGAATAAGAATTAGAAACTTGTTACAGCCACATGCAAGCTGTCAGCTTTTATGCGGGGGAATTGCATTAGCTATGACAATGGAATGAGATATGCACTGTGCTATGACAATGGAATGGAAGGCTTCACGGGCCACTTTTTAGCAAAGCCTCTGATGCACAGCTTGTGCACTGGTTCCTCCTTCCTTTGACCCTCTCTCACCCCCCGAGCTTAGTCATTGTGCTGTCTCCAGAACTCTACTGCCTTTCCCACACTGCCTCACGGGCGGCACTTGGGTGATTACCATATACTTGACAGATTCTTCAGAAATTACTCTCTAAATACAGAGTTTATACCTCTTGGGGGAATAAATATTAAGAATTATTTTATTTTATGACCCCATGTTCATTAATATTAATTCATATTCTTCACTTTTAGGCTGTGGTAGTACTTCCCTTGATTGTGTATGTATGTTTCTATTTACTTTAATATGTTATAAGCTAGGAATTGCAGCTTTAATTGCCATTTAGATGGACACACCTGCAATTCTGTCTGATCTCCTAGTGTCTGTACTTCATGTGGTATCAGAATGGGATGTCCTTTTACTCTCTTGAGTTAACAGTTTTGATCTTGCTTTAAAACTGAAGAATCAAATTTGTAGTCTTTTTGTGATTAAATTAGCACTTTCTAATTGTTGCTTTTTATATCCATGTTTATTTTAGACAAGTAAATAATTTATTAGAGATGCCTTTTGTGTAGTTTGAAGATGATACAGGCTTAATCTACACTAAGATATTCATAACCCTATAAAACATTATTTAGTAGAAAATAAGCTACATAATGCCCCAAAATGTTAATAATCAACATTTGATGAACATGATTTCATAAACTATTTGTGTAGATGAGCACACACAGACTTATACTGTATATGTGGTTTAAATGCAGAGATGTGTTCAACTTAATTTTGCATCAAGCAGAAAGAAATGGTAAGCTTTGAACATGTATTTTTTTTTTTTCGAGACAAGGTTTCTCTGTGTAGTTTTGGTGCCTGTTCTGAATCTTGCTCTGTAGATGCTCTGTAGACCAGGCTGGCCTTGAACTCACAGAAATCTACCTGGCTCTGCGTCTCAAGTGCTGGGATTAAAGGCGTGTGCCACCACCGCCCGGCTGAATATATATTTTTTAACAACAATATCAATTCCTAAAATATTGCTCTAAAATAAAGAAAAAAATATTGGAACTTTTTGTAATGTCATGCTTCATTTATGAAAAATATTTGAGATTGTTAATTTTGAATGATGAGAAATAAATGTATCTACTATAGCTGTCCTTCCATGTTAATTTTTACTGACATTGGTATTAAAATGGCTAAAGAATATAATATTTACATTCTCTTCAATAACACTTAAAATATTTAATCTAAATTCTAATTAATTAAATTAAAAAACCAACATCACCCCTTTTGCCAGTTTCTCTTTTGCTGAGACACTCATCAGGTTCAGTCTTTTGTTGAGCTGACCAATCAGTGTTTGTGAGGAAGGCCTCTGTGAACACTTTATATGACATGTTTCTATTTCAAGAATAACTTATTTGGTGTAAACTACCCTGGCTAAATTATTTTCTTCCTTGGAACTACAAGGTTATTGATACACCATCTTTTAACATTAAAGGTGATGAAGAGAAGCTGGGGCCTAACTGGATCCCTAATCCTCTCATAGCCACATCATACATCATGTTTTTGTGCCTCTAATATCAATATATTATTCCTTAACACTGAGTTTGGAAAATTAGCATTAGATACATCATGGAATTGTTATTTTGAACATTCTGCCAATGGTAACACCTAACAGTGAGATTTCTGAATCATTTGTTACTCTTATTTTTTTAATTTTCTTTGAGGAAAGCCATGCTTAAGATGCCCTTTCTCTTTCTCTCTACATCTACATTCTATTCTTCCTGCAAGGTTCAGTCAGTCTTAGTCTTATACTGTACAGGAGCCTTCTGAACTCCATAGGTCATGATGACCCCCTGTTACTCAATGTCTTTGGCACATATCACTCATTCATTCTTGTTTTAGTATTATTCATTGAGGGAACTTATAGCATGTCATATGCCCTTTGGTATTCCAAATGACTGTTGATTATAATATTATACAACTGATGAGCAAATAGCTCACATTTCATTTAGATACAAATGAAATGTTAGCCAGTCCTCTTGCTTCTAAGGAAATCTGACCATAGAACTTTTTTATGTGATTATCATTTCCTGTACTATATGATCAGCTAAATGACTAGTCTAATAAATCCCAAGGAAATTTGATGTTTTTATATCACACACACACACACACACACACACACACACACACACACACACTGGCAAGATTAAAGTTGGTATTGAATGGGTTGCACTCATGAGATCTATTTTGCTGCCTGCTTTATGAATTGTGATTATTTGCATAAATAATTGAAGTTGTGTTCCATGGTATAGTGAGCTATCCTTTAAGACCGTCTAATCAGGGTGCTAAAGGCAGGAGTGCACAGCTGTCTGACGCCTATTGTTATTCACAGTTCCCTGTAAATGTCCATACCTGCCAGTCAGAAGCTCATACATTAGAATTCCTAGTGACCAGTAGTCAGCTGAAATGTCATGGCCTTTGTTCAGGATGATCTCTGGGGCTACATATTCTGGAGTCCCACAAAAAGTCCATGTTTTCTTTCCAAATCCTATTTTCTTTGCAAAGCCAAAGTCAACCTTATGAAGAGAGAAAGCAAGACACTTAAGCTATTTATGATCAAGTTGTAGAAAAATATGTATTTAGCTGAGCATATGGATGATATCAATAAAGAAATTAAAGTCATTACAGTCCTGTCTTCTGAAAGGAACCATGTATGTTGCAAACACAGATGCCATGTTCAAATTCTGTTCCAATGAGGAAAGTGAAACCTGAACATAGATAAAATTGAAACCACGAAGAGAAAAGGCTCTCTGTAGAAATACTTTTTCACTTTTCCTACTTTATTTTTGGCCAATAGTGGTTGTGGCATAAAGAAAAGAATTTCTTCTTTAAAGAGGCAGAGATCCAGGTGGATCATCATCAAAGTTTCCTCAGCCGATACCTACTTTCTTCTGGACAGTATAAAGTGGACGGCTCTAGTATTGAATATATGACAAGAAGGTTTACCGTTGAAGGAGTTGAGTGACAGAATCAAGAGAGAAATACTTTACTCTTGGTAAACAAGCAGATAAAACAAGATCTATCCTCTTTTTGTGGAACTTTCTAGAGAAGCTGCAAATACAGAAAGCCTCCTTTTTCCACAAAGTGATTTGGTTTAGATGGAAATAGTTACCTGCCACTGATACAGATATATTTAAAATCCAAGGATGGGTAACAATTCCAAAAGTTTGTAACTAGAATCAGGTGCCAACAGATCCAAAGCTCATAAGCGTTGGACATTTTTAAATGAGTTTCTTTTATACTGTAGCTCTTAGCCAGTTGTTAGTGTTATTGCTGTTAATACAACCTAGATAATATTACCTCAGAACTTATTCCTCATGAACATTATTCTTAAATACCAAATGCTAAAATGTTCACAGTCTTGTATAACACTAATTTCCATTGTAGTTGGAATAATATGTATAGGTGCTTTCAGGTCTATGAATACATGCCAACAAGGGAATTTTCTAACAGTTGTTAGAACACACGCTTTGTGGGAGTATTATTAATTCAAACCTCACCAATTTAATTTTTCATAAAACTTTGCATAATTTAAAATACATTGTAATTGAAAACAATGACAATAACACTGCTTTCAAGAAGTTATAACATTGAAGTGGAATATATTTTGTGTTAACAAATGAACATGAGTACTTTAGAACTTCAGGACACAACCATTGTATGAAACACACTGACCAGCTTGGCATAACCTCGATGATCTAGGATGAGATTTTCTGGCTTGAGGTCCCTGTAAATGATTCCTTTGGAATGCAGATAGGCAAATGCTTCTACCACGCATGCTGTGTAAAATCTGGTTGTCGAATCTTCAAATGAACCCCTGAAAATGGAAAATGCAGTAAACAGTGTATGAGAAATTAATTCTCTAGAAAAACTGACTCATGTATATATGAGTTCATTATATTTCTGTACCAAAGTTGGCTCAGAGACCAATGGCTAACTGGCTCCACATGCATCATTTTCATTCCATTAGGTTTTTAAAACATCAGAGGATCAAGCCAAAGAATTATTGCCATTATGAGTGGGACAGTTAAATCCAACTTCCTGGAAGGCTCAAGAAGGGATCAGTAACATTAAGTTTGATGGACTTTGTGGCTTCCTCTAAGCAGCCCACTGCTATACAAAAAATGTAGAGAGTCCCAGTCGTAGGCTGAAGAATGAGTCCTAGATTAGCACTTGTTTACTAACTTTGTTTACTAACTATTTTTAAATGAGAGGCTATTTTGATTTACTAATTAATTTATTGCTTATTCTTTGTTACTTGGGATCAAACCTAGTAGTTTTTAAAAATTATTTATTTATTTAATAACTTTTTTATTCATTTTACATACCAACCACTCTCATCCTTCCTTCCGCTCCTCCCCAAGAATGGCTAAGATCAAAAACACTGATGACAGCTTATGTTGAAGAGGATGTAAAGCAAGGGGAACACTCCTCCACTGTTGGTAAGAGTGCAAACTTGTGCAGCCACTTTGGAAATCAGTATGGTGACTTCTCAGAGAATTGGGAATCAATCTACCTTAAGACCTAATGATACCACTCTTGGGCATATACCCAAGGAATGCTCAATCATACTACCAGTTAGTTCTTAATATATACTTGTTAAGTCCTGTACCATTTAGCTATATCTCTAGACCAAAGGAGAAGTTATATTAAACAGAGAGATTATTCACCTTCAATAATAATCATACATGTGTATGTATAATTAACATACAACTTAAGTATATGGATTTGTCCATGGTTACTTTTAGCAAATTTATATATGGATCGTTCTAAAGGTTGTGGATATGGTTCCTGTGAATGTGATAATGAAAGATGCCAGTGTTTACAGAGAACCATGCCATAGAGCTGTAACCCTGTGCATATCTTCTCACCAGCTATATGCTAGGTCTCTGACACTTCTGCTATCAAGACAGATAGTATCTACCTTCCAGACCATTGCTTTCTCATCAGTAGGAAGAAAGGGAACTAAAATACAACCAGAAAAAAAAGTCACTAGAAGGAACTGTTAAATTCCAACATTTAACAAGAAAGCATTTTCTCTGTCTCTTTGCCTTCCATCTTTCTCAGTCTCATCTGTATATGTGTATGTGTATATATCTACAAATGTAACTTTATTGATTAAAATAATAGTAAAAGAGAGCTCTAAGGTCATTCATTGTCTCTAGAGCAGAACTTTTGTACTTGTTTATTCACTGGACTTAAGATTAGTGTGTTCTTTTTCTTCTTTCTCAAATATTGAGGCTCAATCAAATAATTTCATAATTTATGGCTATTGGCATAAGCTCTTTCAGATCTTGAAGTGGCTGCAATGAAACAGGAGCTACTACAACTTCAGGTGGTGTCCAAGAAACAACAGTGCAGGAACTTGCTCATCAGCGGGCGCCTGCTTGCATTTTGGTGATGCTTCTTTTTAAAGACTGAAGGTGAAGTCTCACAACCAGAGTAGTGGAGTGTGACTACATATTTTCAAAATTCATCTGCAAATCTAGGGCCAAAGCAGATTTCTTGTGTCCATTTTTATTTATAAATAGTATGTTCAGCTGTGCAGATATCATTTACTTTCTATATCCACTAGCAGTTACTAAAACAACCAGCTGGTCTGAATCACAGTTAAGCTAGGCATGATAGCACATAACTGTAATCCAGTACCTGGGAGGCTGAGGCAAGATGCCAGACTGGATTGTAAAGAGTCCTTTTCTCAAAGAAAATTCATACAGATAAAATTCAAGATTAAATTAAGCTGTCGGTATGATGGCATCTACTTCTCTAAATATCAGAACTTTCACTCACATTGCTAAGATTATACTATTGTCCCAATGATAGCTGAGTGACACAGCTGTGCATTTCTAAGGGTGAAGGAAGGTTCTGGAAAGAGCTGCATCTACAGCAGGGAGTTAATGGTGTTCCTTAGGCTGTAATTGCTCTCTAATGCGTAGAAAACCTAGACTGATCTAAAAATCTGCAATCCTGGGGACTGGAGAAGAATTAGAGCATTGTCTTGAGTTCCTTTTCTCCTTTGCTCTTAATAAAGTTTTAGCATGTTTGCCTATCAAGAATAGAATATTCTTTGAAAATAAAGGCTTTAATTTAAAAAATAAGCATATGTATACATATACATAAATGTATGCATCTATATATACATTCTGTGTTGTATATGACTTCAATCTCCCCTAACATAAAACATTCTGGAATAATGCTAATCAAAACAGCACATGAGTGGGGAATTAGAAGACTTCAACTTCATGGCTTGTTTGAATCCAGAGATTGATTCCTTCCTTTTATCAGGAGGACCTATCCTGGATCTGAGCCATTTTGAAGTTTAGAAGGTTCTGGAAGGTTGGCGTCTAATTCTTTCAACAATCTATATGGAATATACCCCATATAAAAGTCTATTTGTAACTGATTTTTAAAGGTTTTAGGAACTCTTCTTCTCAAACTGAGAAGTCAATACATGCAAACAAAGTGTCAGCAGCACATTGTTGCACCACTAAACATTTGATCAAGGCCACTGAAAGCAGTCACAGAGCACAACATTAGAGTGACTCAAGAATGAAAAATTACAATTAGAATTAGTAATGGCAATGTAAATTTGATCTAAATAGAAGTGAAATCTTATTTTACCAACTCCTTAGAGAGTTGCTCAAAGAAATAAATCATTTATTCTGGGTAGATCTTTGAAATAAATAAATTGTGCTTTGACAGCTATATCATTTGAAGTCAAACTGTGGGAATAGGTTCTCAGACGTTCTTTAGGAGCTGCCGTTTTAGCTAAATGGCATGAAATGACAATTTGATAGAAATAGAGGGTTATATATATTTATTAATGAACTCAAATTAAAGTTAAATCACAGCATTTACTCAGCTTGTCATAAAGTGAATGCCAAGATGTCAGAATGTAACAAAGCCAAAATATCTCTCATCAAATGAGGTCAGGCGTCATTAACAAGTGACAGCAATCATTAGTGAGTACACAATCTGAAGTATGTTGCAACATGTAGGTGTATGAGCAACTGTAAAATGGGATGGCTAGGCTGAATCATTTCCTTAAAAATACTTCTAATCAGTGCCATCTATTAAGTCATCAAAGGAGAAATTAAATAATCACCCTCCACAAAATAGCCAGGTTCATAAACTCTATCCAGGAAGACATATGGTAAGAAATTGAGGTGGTGTATGATTTGAAACTCATGATTTCTGAGATAAAGTTATCCAGCAGAAAAAAATGAACAAACAAATAAAAAACTTAACAATCGACATGCAGTCTTACTAGATTAAAATATTCATCAAATAGTTATATTGACACAATGTCCTATGTCTTATTAACACGTTAATGTGATATTGTATTCTATTTGATAACATAAATACTAATAAGTATTTATTCCATTAGCTAATTACATTTTAAAAAGTTTCAGGAGTTATTAATTCTTTAAATGTTAGAGGGAAGGAAATAAAATATAATTTGCAGTTGTCTTATCCCAAAGAATGAAATAGAATATTTAGAAGAAAAAAGTCTCATAAACTAGATGATAAATTATAATAGCTACCAAAGAGTAAACCTGGGAAATATGAGGGATAATGAATCTTTCAGTGTTTAGCTAAGGTCTGTTTAACAGTCCTCATATCTTGCCTACATGTAGCATCAACTTAATTCTCAGTTCTGTGTGTGTGTGTGTGTGTGTGTGTGTGTGTGTGTGTGTGTGTGTGTGTATGTGTGTAAGTTACATGAGTGTGGTTTTAATAAAGAATATTGTCACACAAGCCTGCTTTCCAATAGTCTCATATGCACTTCTTGTATACTGTTAGGGTAGTGTTTTCCTTATCATGGCTTTCGTTGGACACAAGAGGAAAAGTGAACAAACAGATCTAGGCGGTTTTTGCTTCTTTTTGTTCTTTGTTTTTCATCATAAGGTTTTAAATCAGAAATCTTTACATGCTATGCAAGTGCTCTCCCACCGAGCTACATCCAAAGCTATTTTTTATTACCCTACTATTTGAGACAAGGTCTTACTAAGAATGTCTAGACCCCGAACCATAAAATTATTTCTGTTGCTACTTCAATGACTGTAATTTTGCTACTGTTATGAATTGTAATATAAGTATCTGATATGCATGATATTTGATATGTGACCCCTGTGAAAGGGTCATTTGACCCCCAAAGGGGTTGTAATCCATAGGATGAGAACTGCTGTCCTAGAGTGACCTTGAACTTCGGAATTTTCCTCCCAGCTTCCTGAGTAGTTGGGATTATAGAAATGAGCTAGCAAACTTGGCTTTCAACATTTCATTGAGAAGATAAAATAAATCTATGTAGAATAAAAGAATAAGATTATATGTGTACACAGAAGAAGGAGGATGGGTGGGGGAAATGATTCCAACTCTATATATTTATAATGGTTTTCCATGCAATGGTTCCATAGGAGATTCAGAATTTTGGAATCACTGGGAGAACTAAGCAGCCATTGTTTCTCCACAATAAGCATCGTCATGCCATATCACATTCCCTGGGGGTCCATAGCAACTGTGTACCCAGAACTCAAGGATGTCCTGGGGGAGGGGAAAGGGAGGGTCATCACACAGACCCTGGAGATAGAGGAATGAGCCTTCACTGTTATTGTCTATCTGTTCACTCCTCCCAAAGGGATCAGCTTCTTCACAGTCACCCTTTGTTACCCTGCTGAGTCAGTGTAGCTCACATGTAACCAACCAAACTGTAATCTCAAAAGGCGTGAGAACAAATATGAGGTGATATTGCCATGCAAAGGTAAATTGAATAATGATGAATGGGCGTGTCTGATGCTTGCAGGCTGAGTTCTAGTGCTGTTATTGTAATTATTGTTCCAATAAAGGAACTTAATACAAATTTTATAGAGCTCTGAGGGCATAGCTGGTCTTTCCTCTGCAAGGCTTATTATACTTCCCTGTTTAATTCTACTTACAAGTCTCCTGTTTTAATGAACAGAAAAGAGAGAAAGGGTTTCACAAAAACTAGCAGATTGAAAAATAATGTAGTAGAACCACAGGAAGAATGTCAGTTCCTAATTCACAGACAAAACACTAACTTTTTGGAATAGTCAGCAAGTTCTGAGGAGTGGGACCACAAATATTTATCAAAGTATACCCAGGGCACTGTCACCATGCTTTCACAAAATTATGACTCAATTATTAACTAACCACAATACAGTAATATGCTGTGATGTAGTAGCTTAGTGTAGATACTGACCTCATCCTGTGCCAACAACATGCAGTTCTTTGTATGCTTCTTTTAAAACTATAATTAATAAATTAAACAAAACACTAGTATATTAAAATATATTAGAGCAGAAAGTGGTCTCTTTAACACATACATGTGAGTAAGGCTACTGGGATCAAAGGCCTGAATATATACTCTATCTGAAGACACAAAGGCACAAAAGGGGTAGATTTAGGAAAAAGAACCTAAGTCAAGAGTTTATACAGAACCACTTGACCTGGACTATGTAAAAAATAACAGACTAATATTCATGTGACTCGGGTACATCAGGGCTATCTATAGTTAAGTAGCAAGGATGGTGATGGTTATACAGTGAAGAAGAACCTGAAGGCAAGATTGGTACAAATAATAATAAGTTTTCTAAAAGTGCAAAGACAGCAGCACAAACCTATCACACCAGCGCTCTGGAGGCAGAGGCATGGGGATCAAGAGGTCCCAGGCAGCCTGGACTACATCCCAGACCCTACTGCAAAAAGCCAATGTTTGGGGATGTAGCTCAGTGGGAGAGAACTTGTTTAGCAGGCACAAGACTCTGGATTTGATCTCTAACACAGGGAGAAAGCACAGAATTGCTTTCAATCAGTCAGCCATTTATAGGAAACGACCAAAAAACATTTGTAGGAAAACAAAGTTGTCTTTAAAACAATAAAAAAATGAAGATGACATGAAAAATGAAGAAAACAATTTTTCATTATTCAGAGAAACAAACGTGTACTCTCTAGACAAACTTTACCTCCTGAGGAAAGTCAGAAGGGTAAATCAAATTGTTTACATGAAAAAGTGTAAATAATTAATTCCCTCCCCCAAAGTTAGCAATCTCTAAAAGACAAGGTAGTGAACTCATGTTGGTTTTCAAAACAGAGAGCTATGAAAGATAGAGAAAAAGGAATTTTGGAAAAATTGATCAGTACCATAAAGATAGGGTCATCATTTGAAAACTGAGTGGTCGATTAGAGTGACAGGTAACCCCGAGCAGTCACGACACAGTTCTCAGTCTCCCCGAGTTAACACACAGTGTAGAATTTGAGGTGTAAAGCCGGCTCATTCTAAATTACATCTTGCTAAGGCCTGGGTTAACGCACAGTGTAGAATTTGAGGTGTAGAGCCGGCTCATTCTAAATCACATCTTGTTAAGGCCTAGGTGGACATTCTTTCCTAATGATCATTTTTAAGGTGGAGTCAACCTATACCATTAGTTACAAGGTGAGTTTTACATATCTTATAGTAAATTTTAGATATATACTATTTATTGGCTGTGCTTGATGCTTACATTTGAAAATAAAAGCATATGTAAAATGTAAATATAATTTTACATGTGATAGTGATGGATTCTTCTTGTAGACCATTATGGATCACTCTGTTTTCCAAAACATGACAGAAAAGATTTAAATCTCCTACCTATCCCTGAGAATAGTCCAGAGTTCTCCACCTAGGCAAGCTTCCATCAACATATACAAGTATTTGCTGTCTTTAAATGTCCTGTACAGCCTGTAAACAGTAAACAAGAAAACAAAAGTATGAACATTATTATCTTTTAAAACATTTGTTTATTTTAAATTTTGGTGAATTGTTTTATTGATATATATATATATACACATTCATATATATACACATTCATATATATTAATATATATATATAATTATGGGATATAACAAGGTGTTTTAATACATATATGTACTGCTTAATAGTTAAGCCAGGATATTAAGCACATGTACCATGTATTTGCAGTACAAAGTTATAGTGAGGAGGGAGGAATGAGGTCTAGTTCCATTTCCATGGTTAACAATATTGTACTGAATATTTCAAAATAGATGAAAAAGATAATTTGCAATGTTCTTCTCATAAGAGCCAGCACTCAGGTGGCAGTGTTGATTTTATTTTTTGATTTTTGATTGTTCGTCTTGGTATTTTGTGATGAGAATGAAGGGCACTCACATCTATAAGAACTCAGTGTCCCCATGGATAATACTTACAGACTATGGGATTAGAAGCTTCTGGTTTGGCCTAACCCTAATGGGTATGTACACATGAGAGTGTCTTGAGGTTCTATCAATTCTTATTTGGCTCTTGTTTCAAGCATGGCCTTGAGCAAGACTTAGTGGTCATAAGTACAAAGTATGTAGAGATAAAGTATATTGTATTTTATAAATATAGTTTGTAAATAGTCACTTAAATTTACATCTTAACTTTCTGTATTACTGTTAATTTGACCATAAAAGTTTCTCCTGCATATAAAAACCTTCATTATCATCTTATTAGTGCTATGAAAATAGTGAGGTGGACAGATTAGCTGCCATTTCATAAAAGGAAACCTCCTGGGGCTGGGGAGATAGCTCGGGTGGTAAAAATACCTGCCAGGTAAACATGAAGATCTGAGTCTGGATCCCCAGCACCCACATGAAAGCTGGACAGGGTTTTACCCATCTATAAGCACAGTGCTGGGAGATTAGAGACAGGTAGAACCCTGGAGCTCAGGACAGCCAGCCCAGCTGAATCAGTGAGCTCCAGGTTCAGTGAGAGACCATGTCTCAAAAATGTGGCTGAAGAAGTCACTGGCATCAATCTCTGGCTTCCACACATGTGCATTCACCTGCACACACCCTCACACCTCCATGTGCATATGTGAACACAGACACACAGATACACAGACACACACACACACACACACACACACACACACACACACACACACACATATATATATATATACTACACACACACAGAAACAAATAAATTCTTCAGGAAATTAAGACTGAATAGACTGATTTGGGTAATTGTTTTTTGTGTTCTCTGTCTCTTGTATTTGATGTAGATGTTTGCAGAGCCATGACAAAAATGAAATGCTAAAAGTTGACATCTCTTTTGGGAAAAATATCCTTTTTTGAGAATATGAGGATATGTTCCTCTATAAAAATAAATGTAGAATCAAGCTTTTTTATATTTCAAAAATCAAATACAATTTTCTCAAGTTTTCTTTATGAACATAAAATAAATACTTTAAGGGTAAGCACAGCGAAAGCAAGGACTGCAGCTGATTTGCCATTTGGAGCTGGCACATCTGTTGTTAGGGGTGTGCCTTTACCTCACAATGAAGTCAGAATGAGCCCCCTGCATGATCTGCTTCTCCGAGCGGATGTGTTCCTGCTGTCTTGTGTCCACAATGTGGCGTTTCTTGAGAATCTTCATTGCAAATGTTTTGGATTCTTCACTTTTCAACTGGACCTTAAAGACAGGCAGAAAGGACACATGAACAAGAACCTACAGATTTCATATGCCAGGCTGTACCATTGTCTTGAAATTAAGAGGTGTAGATAGGATATAAATGAATCCCAACTACTACCCAAGTCACACAGGGACTGAGTTCACAAACATGATGTACAACCATCCTCCAATCTTACTGTGCTGGGTCATTTGAGGGCCAACTAACTACATCCCAAATTAATTTTGTGCCCATATGAATTGGAAAAAAATATATTTCATGTTTCATTTTACTTTATATAATGAGTCTGAGTATAATACATAGTCTTTATCAAAAACGTCTAATTCTTCTTGAATTCTATTTCATGTGCTGATGGCAAAGTATGATCTTATGATCACCTAGGGCTCTATACTCTCCAACTTCCTCATCCACAAACGTTTCTAGAGTTAAGTGTGGTGGTATTGTGTTTCCCAAAATATTGTGCACCCTAATAAACTTATCTGGGGTCAGAGACAGAACAGCCACTAGATACAAAGGCTAGAAAATGGTGGCACTCACACCTTTAATCCTAACACTCCAGAGGTAGAAATCCCTCTGGATCTCTATGAGTTCAAGGCCGCATTGGAAACGGCCAGGCATGGTGACTCATGCCTTTAATCCCAGAAAGCAGCCTTTAATCCAAGGGAGTGGTGGTAGAAAGCAGAAAGGTATATAAGGCATGAGGACCAGAAACTAGAAGCATTTGGCTGGTTAAGCTTCCAGGCTTCTAGCAGCACAGTTCAGCTGAGAGCTATTCGGATATGAGGACACAGAGGCCTCCAGTCTGAGGAAACAAGACCAGCTGAGAAGTTGGCCAGGTGAGGTTAGCTGTGGCTTGTTCTGTCTCTCTGATCTTCCAGCTTCACCCCAATACTTGGCTCCAGGTTTGATTTTATTAATAAGAACTTTTAAGATTCCTGCTACAGTTAAGTATAGTGATTGACTCTGGTCCCTGCTGGGACTGGAGATGTATATGTCATAACTGTTATTTATTTTCCACTTTACTTTCCAATATTTTCCTGCCTCCAGTTAAAAATATATATGTAACAAGGTATTGTTTTTTTCAGATTTTTGAAAACCACTTTTTTTTTTCTCCACCATGCTTGATGGCATTAATCTCCTTTGATCTTAAATCTTACTCCTTAGTTGTATCCACTGTAAACCAAACCAATATACTAAGCTTGCATCTAATGCAGCCCACATGACTCCCTGTGCCTATGCAGGAGGTTGGGATCCTCCAATATCTTATCTCAAATGGGCTGTAGTTATGTGTTCATGCTTACAAGAGAGTCACCCAAGAGACTCGTAAGTCAAGGAAGAGCCACGATGGAGCTAATCTGTTAACAGTAGTCAAGGGAGCTATCACTGAGTGCTCTCTAGCAGTGGAACACCACGGCATTGCTCACCAGTAACATTATTTAGACCCAAAGAAAGCTTCGGAGAAATAACATAGCAAACCTTGGCTGAAGCATAGCTTGCTCCTTCTTGTGTTTTGAATCCTTTGCTGTTTCATCTGCAGGGATACTGAGGGTGTTTTATTTGTTTGTTTGCTTGTTTTTTTTTTTTGTTTTTTCAAGACAGGGTTTCTCTGTGTAGTCCTGGTTGTTCTGGAACTTGATCTGTAGACCAGGATGGCATAGAACTCATAGAGATATGCCTGCCTCTGCCTCCTGAGTACTGAGATTAAAGTACTTGCTGGGGTAGTGGTGGTGGTGTTAGTAAATTCTTAAGTGTCTTGTGTGTCCACAATGTTCAGACTGAGTTCAGTCTGAGAGGAATTAATATGTCAGGAGGAAATGAGAGGACACATCAGACAGTAGAGTTGGCATTTGGTGTCAATCTACATGACTAGTTAAAAGGAAAAAGAGAATACTTTGAAAACGTCTATAACAGCCAAAGAGCCTCTAGTTTGTCTGTCTGTGAAACTCCTTAAAATGATAGATTAGTATGGTACATGTTAATTCAGTTGTAGTTCATAATAAATACAAATGTGGAAACTCACTTCTAAAAGGAAAGTAGACAGACTAAGAATATAGAGTGACAAATGAGCTGTTGTGAGAATAACAAAACTCTGAAGGGAATGAGCATTCCAAAGGGAAGGAAAATGTTCTCTTACCCAGATAACAAAGACAATCCTATGCTGCTCAGATGTCTTAAGTTAGACATTGTTCTCTTAAGACATCACTTCTGCACAGGGTAGGAAAAGAGATCAGCATTTCGAACCACAGGTCTTGGTTTTAATTCTGCCCCTTCCTGGTCTCTGTGACTCTTGGGCTAGTTGCTTAACTGCTGCAAGCCCTAATTCTTGCCAAAGACAATAGCAGTAACTGCCGTAGAATCATCGTGATTCTAAAGGAGCTGGTATCAATGACTTGGCATTCCTGAGGGCCTTTCCATTAGTCTTTCTGTCCTGTGTGGTAGTTTATAGCAAGTAGGGACAATCAAGTGTTGCTTTAAAAAATTCTTCCTTTTCATGCCGGGCGGTGGTGGCGCACGCCTTTAATCACAGCACTTGGGAGGCAGGGCAGGCAGATGTCTGTGAGTTCGAGGCCAGCCTGGGCTACAGAGTGATTTCCAGGAAAGGCACAAAGCTACACAGAGAAACCCTGTCTTGAAAAAAAAAATTTAAGGGGTTGGGGATTTAGCCCAGTGGTAGAGCACTTGCCTAGTAAGCTCAAGGCCCTGGGTTCGATCCTCAGGTCCAGAAAAAAAAAAACCAAAAACAAACAAACAAACAAAACCAAAAAATAAAAAAGGAAAAAAAAATTCTTCCTTTTCACAGAAGCAAACTTGGCACAAGTGGATTCAGTCTAACTAATCAGGTAAACTGGTAAAATCAAAGGCAAACTGCACACACACACACACACACACACACACACACACACACACACACACACGTTGTCTAAGTTCACTGAACTACCAACTGGCAGAACTGGGTTCCTATTTAGGACATTTGGAGCCAAGCTCCTCTAAGTATGCACGGATTTCCTTCAGCTGGATATAAAACAAAATGAAGGTATAATGATGGATGTTCACAAATATGAGATTAATGGAATAGGCTAACTTTAGACTCTATGTGAAAAATTGAACCATGTATTTATTGGCTTGTATTTTCACTATTCTAAGCCTTGTCGTGTGAGAAGGTGAGATGGCCCATCAGGTGAAGGCGCTTGCTGCCAAATCTGACAATTTGAGTTCTGTCCTTGGAAACTACATGGTGGAAGAAGAGAACTGACTCCTGCAAACTGTCCTCTGATTTCTAGACATGAGCAATGGCATGTAGACCCTTCCACACACACACACATGTATACACACAAAATAAAAATAAATAAATGTGTGAAAAAGAAAAGAAAAAACCCTGTGTTATTCCCCTAGTCGTTTAGTGTGTTATCTAGGGTTTGGGACACCTGACTGCTTGAGTCATACAAGAAGCCAAAGTGGGTAGGAAGTAGTCAGTGGAAATGGAGAGGTCAACCTCATGAGAGGTGTATTGAATTTCAGCATCTTATCTTTAAAGACCTTTTATTTTTAATTATGCATATGTGTTTGGGTCTGTGCATGTAAGTGTGGGTGCCCATGGAAGCCACGCAGAGGACAAAGGTGTTTGATACCTTGGAGCTGAAGTTACAGGTGGTTGTAAGCCACAACTAATGTGGGTGGTAGGAATTGAGCTCAGGTCCTCTGAAGAGCGGTATGTGCTATGTGCTCCTCAACTGCTGAGCTATCTGTTCATCCCTGAATTCTGGTTTCTTAACCTTGGAAGCCAGAGTTCCCAGTAACTACCAGAGTGAGCTAACTCAACACAGAGAGTCTCCTGCTTAGGTTAATTCCCTGAACAACACCCAACTAATGTGTTCATCAGAACCCTGCTGACAAACCTACAATGTTCCAAAGATCATTCATGGATCTTTAAATCAACATTGTTCCTGTCAGAAAAATCAGAAACAGTCTAAATGTCTGTCAGTAAGAACTTGGGAAAAATAAATTATACAATGTCTATGTAAGCAGCTCTAAAATTTATGCTAGAATAATAATTAAAATATATGGATAAACAGTATTAGTTATAGGGCAGTATATTTTTTATGATTCCATGGTATATCTGCACATGAGCATATGCCTAATACCTATATCTAAAGCAGATTTATGAAAGGACAATCTGAAGGTCATTAACATGTTCATAATAATTTTTCCTTTATGTATAATTTTAGTAATATTTCCTTAAAACTTTTGAATTGCTCAATAGTTACGGAATTCATGTGTTTTACTTTTATGAGGAGTAGAAATGAAACCTTAGTGGTGGAAATTATTTACAAATTTTCTAAGAGCTGGGAATATACCTCAGTGGTTGTGTGCTTTCCCAACATTTGTCATTCCCAGGCTCAATTTCCAGCTAACTTAAGATCCTTTTCAATTATAATTGCTATTTGATATTATTGAATGATGTACTCAATGTAGTCCTGGTCCTATTAGAATTCCACAAATACAATGAGAAATAATATATTGTACAACCATGTACCATGTAAATATATGCAAGTTTTGAACAATTGCATGCTATTCATTTCTTTGAGGATTTGCTATAATTTAATGTTTTTCAGTCTGAACTTACAAAGTGAGGTTTAGCAATTTGTATTTGATCAGCCTAAGGCAGTATGTTTAATATGGGTTATATTTAATACACAAAAGTTTTAAATCAAAGTTAAAATTTTGCCTTCATTTCCTCTGTGCCTGATTAGTTATATTGAGTATACTTGTGAAAATTTGAAATGCTTATGCTGATGTTGATGATGGTAATGATTTTTATTATCTAGTAGCGAATTCACTACAAGAAAGAATTAGTGTTACATTCAGACAGAAGTGGGCAAAAGGAAGAAAGGAATATGTATTTATACATGTCCTTCCTTTTGCCTAAGCCTCCTCTCTGCCCCAGTTGGCCAAGCCTGTTCACGAGTTTGTGACTATCCTAACCTGGACACAGGAGTTAAGC